ATCCTCACCAGCATTTTTTTGTCCTCTGCTTTTTTTATCTTTACTGTTATTGCTGGTGTGAAATGATCTCTCATTGTTGTTTTGATTTGCATTTCTCTGATGGCTAGTGATCATGAACATTTCTTCATATGTTTGTTGGCTGCCCTGATCTCTTCCTTAGTGAAGTGTCTGGTTATGTCCTGTGCCCATTTTTTAATTGGGTTATTTGTCTTTTTCTTGTAGAGTTGTTGTAGTTTTCTATATATTTTAGAAATGAATCCCTTATCTTATGTGTCATTGCAAAGATTTTTCCCCTTCTGTGGGTTCTCTTTTTACTCTTTTGGTAAAGTCTTTTGATGCACATGTTTTTAATTTTTAGTATGTCCCACTCATCTATTTTGTCTACTTTTGTATGTGTACTTTTCAAAATGTTTGGTAGTCTGTATTTGCCCTGAATTAGTGCCCTCACATTTGTCATCATTTTTTCATTGATGACCTTCATAATTTTGGGATTCACATTTAGATCTTTAATCCATGCTGAGTTCATTTTTGTATAGGGCATGAGATAAAGGTCTTGTTTCATTCTTTTGCATATGCTTTCCAGTTCTGCCAGCACCATTTGTTAATGAGACTGTCTCCTCCCCATGCAATATGCCTAGGCACTTTGTTGAAAATCATTTGGCTATATGTGGATGGGTTAATTTCTGGATTCTCGATTATGTTCCATTGATCAATGTATCTTTCATTGTACCAGTACCAGGCTGTTTTGATCACTGTAGCCATGTAATAAATTTTGAAATCAGTGAGTGAGATACCTCCAACCTTGTTCTTATTAAGCAGTGCTTTGCTTATCCTTTCAATATAAAGTTAGTAATTGTCTTTTCCATATCTTTGAAGAATGTTGATAGAATCTGGATTGGGATTGCATTATATGTGTAAATTGCTTTGGACAGTATTGACATTTTCACAATGTTGAGTCTTCCTATCCAGGGACATGGTATGTTCTTCCACTTTTGTAGGTCTCTTTTGGCTTCCTGTGGTAGTATTTTGTAATTTTCTTTGTAGAAGTCCTTTGTTTCTCTGGTCATGTTTATTCCTAAGTATTTCATCTTTTGGGAGGCTATTGTAAATGTTATTGCTTGCCTAATGTCCTTTTCATAGCTATTGTTGTTGCTATAGAGAAATCCAACTGATTTTTGTATGTTGATCTTATACCCTGCCACTTTGCTGAATCTTCCAATGAAGGCTAGTAGTTTTTTTGTTTTTTGTTTTTTTTACTGAATCTTTGGGGTTTTGTGTGTATAGGATCATATCGTCTGCAAATAAAGACAGTTTTACTTCCTCTTTGCAAGTTTGGATGTCTTTAATTTCTCTATCATGCTGTATAGCTCTGGCTAAAACTTCAAGCACAATATTGAATAGGAGTGGTGACAAAGGGCATCCTTGTCTGGTTTCTGTTTGCACAGGGAAGGCTTTCAGTTTCTTTCCATTGAGAGTGATATAGGCTGTTGGTTTTGTGTATATGCTCTTGATTATGGTGAGGAATTTCCCCTCAATTCCTACTTTGTTGAGTGTTTTTATCAGGAATGGATGTTGGATTTTGTCAAATGCCTTTTCTCCATCAATTGATATGATCATGTGGTTCTTTTCCTTTTTCTTATTTATATTGTGGATTACATTGGTTGTTTTTCTAATGTTGAGCCATCCTTGCATCACTTTTATGAAACTCACTTGGTCATGATTTTTTTATTTTTTTTTAGGTTGTGCTGTTGGATTCTATTGGCTAGGATTTTGTTGAGAATTTTTGTGTCTATGTTCATGAGGAATATTGGTCTATAGTTTTCTTTCTTATTCAAGTCTTTCCCTGGTTTTGGTATGAGGATTATACTTGCTTAATAAAATGCATTAAGGAGTTTTCCATCCTCTTCTATATTCTGGAATAATTTAAGTGGAATTGGTGATCGTTCTTCCCTGAATGATTGGTAGAACTTACCAGTGAAGTCATCTGGGCCTGGACTTCTTTTGGTTGGGAGTTTTTGATGACCTGATCAATTTCTTCTTTTGTTATGGTTTTGTTCATGCTTTCTACTTCTCTCTGATTAAGTTTAGGTAGGTCATGTTTTTTCTAAAAATATATCCATCTCTTCTAAGTTTTCAAATTTTCAAATAGTTTTCTGTTATTATCCTTTTGATTTCGTTTGGTTCCATTGTGACATCACCCATGTGGTCTCTAATGCGAGTTATTTTTGTCTTTTCCCTCTTTTCTTTTGATAGTTTTGCTAATGGTTTGTCAATTTTTATTAATCCTTTCAAAGAACCAACTTCTTGTCTTGTTGATTCTTTCCATAGTTTTTTCTGTAAGCACTTTCTCCATGAGTTCCCAGTCCCTCCACCATGGAGCCTTCCCTACCTGGCTTTCTTTACTGCCACCCAAACTGGAAAGTCTCTCCTTCTTTCTTAACCCTTCTGGTCTTCTTTGTTGGGTAATTGCTACACTTTTAATCTTAAATGGTTGATTGTTGTAAGGTTCAAATACTTAATTAATGTTATTGTTCCCCTAATAGTCTTATCTATTTTTTGGCTGAAAATTGAGCCAAGGGGGTAAATTTAGTTCCAATCCTGAAGTGTGACTAAGAGCCATAGTCTTGAGAATTCCACCAGTCTCTATCCAATGCATAAACCTGGCAGTTTTGGTGATTTTGAGGTTTGTTCCACATTTTTCTCCCAGTCTATCCAGGGCTTACTAATGTGATTCCTCTCAAAGAAGTTGGGAGTGGTAGTTGGGCACCATCTACTTCTTCTGGTCTCAGTGTTGTGAAGACTAATGTTCTCATCATCCATGAACCCATTAAATTAAGTGTTTCCATGTCTTTTTAATTTTCATCACTCTTTTGCCCTCCAGAGAGGAAGACACCATTATTTGCACTTTAGATGGCCACTCACTTCACTCACTTCTCAACAAAGTAGTATGTAAAGTATTGTCTTAGTGGTTTATGTTATGTCAGTTGACATGGCACTCCCTGACACTATGGTCCAGATCCCCTCAGTGCAGTAACTCATTCCATGAAGGTGTTTGGTTATGTCTAAGAAGTTGTCATAACTTTATCCCTTATATGTTCTGCCACATTCATGCATATATTTGATGTGAGATAATTATTATTAAAGGTCCTGGTAATAAAAAATTTATGATAAAAGAGGATAGAAGCAGGATATATTAAGGGAAATGCATTAAATAGAAGTAAACTGTGAAGCAGGCATGATAACAGCTCAGCCAACACATAGAGTTCTGGAAATAAAATTCTTCAACTGAATTGTCCTGAATTTCACCAAAAAGTCCTTAGTGCAGTTATATCTCAGTTATTAGAATGAGAACTACCAGGATGGGAATGATCTTGGTTGTGACAGATTTCTGCAGGTCCATGGTTGAAAGAGCTCTGCTGAAAGCACTCCCAGGAGTTGAGACAGTAATTCCTTCATTAAATGGTGAGCTGGATGGTATCCTGTCCATCATGACATGTATCAGTGTCTCTTATTTTTTTTATGTATCAGGAGATGGTTTGGGAAGTCTTACGTTTCTCCTAGAGATGGGAACATGTTACTAACATACGATCTTTTTCAACTTTTTACTTTTTACACATGTGCCCTGCTTCCTGGAATACTTTTATCCAGTGGTATGCCAGCAAGTGTTTAACAACCATCTTTATAAGATATTTTGTTAAAGCCCTACTTGTAGTCTTTGCTAATTTCTGTGGTGTTAATACTTCTATCATGGGCAATTTCAAAACACCAATAGGAACACAAATTTGAAACAGAATGTGGTCAATCAGCTTTCATGATTGAGAAAAGCTAGTCTCAACACACTGCTTTCTTTTCCATTCTGCTGAATGGAAAAAATGAATTTGACCCACAAGGTATAACAAAACACAGTATTGAAAGCAATAACTGTCACAGTAGATGTTTCTGGGTGAAACAATAGGCAATAACATAACATTTGTGCTTACAACTTATTTCTAAGTACTCATAGTTGTTGTGGAAGGGGAACCTTGTAATGATGTGCTAGTGTAGCTGTTATGAGCCCTACTTAACTTAAAACGTTTGCAATTTGGCTAAAAATCAAGTGCATATGCATGAAGTAATAAAATACCAACAATGGAAGCACGTATATACATCATCCTAGTGAAGAGCAAAGTGAAATTAGGAAGAGTGAAGAAAGCAAGAAAGACATAGCATTTAAGATTCACACAGTCATACAGACAGGAGGAGAAGACTTTATCAAAATATTAGAGTGGAGATTGTGCACAACTCCCAATCCATTCATAAAATAAGAGATGAAATACTGTCATGTAGATTACACACTTGCCTATGTATTTAAAATTTTCCTGCTAGTCACACTTGAACAATTGCCATGTGCCTACCTCAGTATTTGAAGGTAAACAATGGAAACTTAGAGATCTACAGTAGGAATAGGATAAAAGACACATTTTAAGCCAGTGATGAGGACAGGACTTAATCCATAGCCTACAACCACAGTAATAATTCAAAGTCATGCCAAAAATTCAAGCTCTAAACTTTCCCTAAGAAGTCAGAAGTATGGATATAAAAATATATCATCCTGTGACATGACAAATCAAACATGGACAAGTTTATTCAAAATAGGAGAAAGAGAGATTAAGAGAGACCATTAAAAAGAGAAATGATGTAAATGTAGTTAACATTTCACAAGCTAGGATGTTATTAGCTTTAATAACAATAATAATTTAATAATGCTAACAAATGAGTGCAATCTTTTAGCTTAATCTCTTTTACATGCATTGCCTTTTATTAGTCTCTTAACGTTCTTGGGGAAAGAGGGTTATAACAATCTCATGAAAGTTAAAGGTAATTAAATAAAATTGCATATTTAGGAAGTAGGAGAATTATGGATTGTAAGCATATGATCTAGCTCCAAGTATTTTAGTTCTTACTATTTTAACATAGCTTCCCCAAGTTTTTCAGTAGGAAAATTGGATGATCCAGATTACCTAAAGCCTCCTCCTAATTCCAAATTTGCGGAGAATTCCTAGACGAATCTGTTTTGTTCTGACACTGTAGACAACAGGGTTAAGCACTGGGGGAAGAAGCAAGTAGATGTCAGCCATGAGGACATGAACTACGGAAGACAGATGCTTCCCAAAGCGATGTACCATTGAAACTCCAATGACTGGCACAAAGAAGATGAGCACCACGCAGATATGCGATACACATGTGTTGAGTGCCTTTAGCCGCTCTTCACGAGATGCAATGCTCAGCACAGCATTCAGAATAAGGACATAAGAAAGGAGTATGAAGAGTGAATCCACACCCAGTGTGGCAATAACGACACATAGTCCATAAATGCTGTTGACTCTGGCATCTGAACAGGATAATTTCAGAACATCCTGGTGCAAGCAGAAGGCATGGGAAAGGGCATTCATATGGCAGTAGTGATAGCGTCTCAGCAGCAAAGGTGTGGGCAGTACAACTCCCATGCTCCGCAGCAAGCAGGCCAAACCAATCTTGCCAATTACGCTGTTGGTGAGGATGGTGGAATAGTGCAGTGGACGACAGATGGCAACAAAACGGTCAAAGGCCATAGCCAGCAGAACTGAGGATTCCAGGAATGTGAATGTGTGGATGAAGAACAGCTGAGCATAGCAAGCATTTGCCTGTATCTCCCGAGCTTCCAACCATAGCACAGCAAGCATGGTAGGGAGTGTGGACAGGGACATGCCCAGGTCAGTTAGTGCCAGGATGGAAAGGAAGTAATACATGGGTTGGTGGAGTGAAGACTCTACCCAAATGACAGAGAGGATGGTGACATTACCAATAAATGCTATGGTGTATGCAACACAGAATGGAATTGAGAGCCAAGAATGAAAGTGCTCTAGTCCAGGAAAACCCCTCAGGATGAATATGGGCTCCATAGCATCACTGCTATTCCAGACTACCATAGTGACCCTTGAGATGCCTTACAAACAGTGACCTTGGAAAAATTAAGAGCAATGTTCTCTGTTTTGTTTTCTTATACCACAAAGTTCCACGTGAGCAAAGGCAGTGCAATCAGGGTAAGATACATCTTCCTCATTCTCACAGAAGGAGGCAAGTAGGAGATGTTTCCCTTACGTCTTAAGTCAAAAATCATCTCCAGTCTTAAAGAGCACCAAGTTCTGGAATAAGTGTTTAGACCACACAAATCTGATCATCTCTGACAAGAATATTGTTGGATTTATATCATGGACACTGAGAAATTTAAACAAAAAAAAAAAAAATGAAAGAAAGAAAAGTTTTAGTATGTATTTTACAGTGAAAACAGATAAAATGTAGTAGTTACGAATCGGGCTGCAAACCTTAAGGTCAGCAGTTCAAAACTACCAGCCGCTCTGCGGGAGAAAGATGAGGCTTTCTACTCCTATAAAGATTTACACCCTCGGAAACCCTGTACAGGGCCACTATGGGTCGGAACCAACTCGATGGCACTTAACAACAACAACAACAACAAATATCCAGTGATTTACTCAAGTTTCCTGTAAGTAATGCGCCTGGGCTGATCATTTATTGTCCCAGGTTGTCTTCTCATGCATGTCAATTGGATTGGTCCCAAGGACTCAACATGATTTCTTTTTGTATTTATTTTAATTTGTAACTTAATAATTTATAACACTTAACAATTTAAAATATTTAATTATAAAAGGTGAATGCCCCATTATAAGATAAAAGGAAATGGAAAACAAAAAATGAAATCCACAAAATCCAATACAGTTGAAATTTTTTAGCTGTTTAGTGCAGCAACTACTCAGCAACTCTTCCTTAACCTAAAATCCTCATAGTTGGGATATATATAAATATACATCTCCCTACCATGAGGGGACTGGAGTCCTGGTGTGGTGCTAAGCAGTAGGATAAACACTGGACTGGTAGTCACAAGATTGGGGGTTCAAACCTACCAGCTGCTTCTTGGAAACACTGTCCAGGGTCATTATGTGTTTGAACCAATTCAACAGCACTTAACAACAACTACAACCATGAGAATTTAATTATATACATATATAATTATCTTTAGCTAGCAATGATTAGTCTTACTTGTATCTGAAGGATTCCTGGTAGTGCAGTGCTTAAGCATTCACCTGCTAAGTAAAAAAATCAGCAGTCTGAGCCCATGAGCTGCTCCATGGGAAAAAAACTGTGGTAATATGTTTCTAGAAAAATGTGTAGCCTTGTAAATCCTTTGAGGGTAAGTCTACCCTGTCCTATAGTGTTGCTATGAGTCAGAATTAACTTGGAAACAATGGGTAACCCTATTGAATGTCTCTGAAAACACTTCTCATTTGCTTCTTCTTTTAGAGTCTTAGACTCATCAACTTCAGAAATCTCTGTGGTAACATCTCAGCATTTTTCTAGTCCTATGTGATAAACCATTCATCTTTGACCTCCTGAGAGTCTGACATAGGTGTCAGTCCTAATGTGAAGTGACGATTTTTCCATATGTGGCCTTGAAAATGATTATCATTTGACTCCAGGTGTCTAGCATTAAGCCTTAATTTTACTTTTTTTTTTTTTTTTTTTTAAATTCACCTCCTTCACTGATACTTACCTTCATTTTATTGGGTGAAGATTAAAATTTCTCAGTATGCATATCTTAACATTCCAAATAGAATGGTTTGGAACCTATACCTGAAGAACAGAAGGAAATACTGTCACCCACTCCAAATAATAAGAAAGATCTGTGTCTCTCTTCTCTCCCAAGTCCGTGCATCCATAATACTCTAAGTAAACATCTCCTTAGTGCTTCTTTTCTCCAACCTAAAACAGTCCAAACTGAACTTTAATTCACTATGTTCTACATCTGTCTGTCAGAATATTCTTACAGAGTTTTTACTTCTTTTTGCATTAAAGCAACATTTTTCTCTCTAGTCTTCAACATCTACTAAATTGACCAATTTTTAATCTTCTTCACTCAAAATCTGTGATTTTTCTTGTTCTAAAGCTAAACTCAGGAGCCTGGATAGCTCAATCAGTAGGAGCATCAGACATCTAATCTGCGGGCCCAGGGTTCAAGTCCCTACTTGGTGAACTACTACTTTGGGGTCCTGGTATGACACTGTAGGACAAGCATTCAACTATAAGGTCTGTTTGAACAGCAAGGTCGGTGGTTCAAACTCACCAACTGCTCCTCAGAGACCCTATACAGGGTCGCTATGAGTCAGATCAGAACCAACTCGATGGCACTTAGCAACATGCATAACACACACACACACACACACACACATGCTATGGTAATATGTGCCCACAATGACGTAGTTTCCTCTAGTTCATGCCAAAAAAAAACTTCCAACAATGATTTATGTCACATTTTCATCAATTCTCAAAAAGTTGGAGGAAATAAGAAAAGTGGATCAATATTTTACCGAATTATCTTTCTCTCTGCTCTGTGTACTCTATGTGCAGATGAAAATGTTCAGAGAATGTTGACAGTAATCTTGACTCTGAATTTGGAGTTAGAATCTTCAAGAATATTCCTAGTTTAAACTTTCATTTTCTTATTCTCTGCTCTCACTGTCCCATCTGTTATGTCTGCCTTCCCATTTTTGTCTGTCTTACATTGCTGTTTTATTTCTGTTAAACAACAGAAATTGTTAAAACAACAGTTTTCTTCTGGCTCTATCTGTGTCATTAATAATCTTTGCAGTTCTTTGGCACTCTTAACATAATTTAATCACAGGGGGTTTAAAAAGAAATACTAGAAAAAGACTAAGCTGTGATAAGACTCTTCATAAGGATAGAGACATGAAAAGAAAATAAATCATGTCACACAATTAATTCTTCCAAGTAATTAAGGGAGAACGTGAGACGACAAAGCACAACTTACAATCTCTCTACAATCTTGAGTGAAGCCTTCAAAAACTATCTTCCATTGACAGTATTAATATTGTTTAAAAAGATGGGAGCATGAAATTATGCTGTGCCATAAATTTCAGAACTGTTCATACGTATATATATATGTGTATATATATATACATACACACTCCTGGCAGCGTAAGCACTGGACTGAACTGTTAACCACAAAGTTGGCAGTTCAAACCTATCAGCTGCTTCTTGGAAACCCTGTACAGGGTTGCTATGAGTTGGAATATATACATATAAAAGGCATGATGTCCTTTTCCAGGGACTGATCCCTTCTGACAACATGTCCAAAGTGTGTGTCGCCATTCTTGCTTCTAAGGAATATTCTGGCTTTACTTCTACCATATATATGTATATGATTATCAAAGACTTTGTATAAAACTACCCACTATTTATTTTGTAATTAAAATTGTATTCCTTACCTGTAATTTACACCCAAGATGATTGGTCCAAGATGAATGCTTAATCATGCAACCAGTAGTCTATTTCCCAATTGATCCACTACTTCACTTTATACATGCCCAAATCATCTCCATCCCAACTGTGTGTAAAGTCTTTTCTCTTTCTATGCTTTTTGCACTCATTTCATTTATTATTGGTATCTCCCTCTGCCTCCCTTTGTCATTTCCTTCTATTTGGTCTTTACCAAAGTCTGTATTTCTTTCTTTTTCTGGTTAATTTGACTGAATCTTACTATGATCTCCCTCTCTCTCTACCCTGTCCAAATTTCTCCTCTGTTTTTCTCTTTTACACCATTTTTCCTTATTGTAAATTCTTTGTGTATTTTTGTAATTTTAACTTTTAGTATATTTGTCTTATTCCTTATCTGAGAAAAGTCCCATTTGTATGTGAAGGTCAGATCTATACTGACTGAAACTGCTACTGTTTTGATTCTCCATGCACTTCAAGTCTTGAAGATATTTGGTTCCTTAGGTAGTGGGCCTTGATTGCTTTCACCATCTCTATTAATACTCTCCATTTCTCCTGGGGTAGAGAGTTAGGGATTGGTGTCAGAGGCTGAAGTATTCCCATAGATGAAGTGAAAGTAAACAGCTGTAACCATAGCTGTGCAAAGAGCAAATGATCACAATCCTAGAAATTGTAGAAATGTGTCCCTACTTCCATGCACCACTCCCAGTTCTTTCAAATGTTATAATTTTCACTTCTCAAATGACCATATAATATTGAACACATAACAACTATGATTCATAGTAACATTGACATTTTAGCTGTCATTAGTTGCTGTTGTTGTTTTTAAGTGTCGTTGAGTAGGTTCCGATCCACAGCGACTCTGTAGAGGGTTCCCAAGGCTATAAATCTTTATGGGAGCAGAAAGCTTCATCTTTCTCCCACGGAGCAGCTGGTAGTTTCGAACTGCTGACCTTTAGGTTTACAGCCTGATTCATAACCACTATACTGTCATTAGTGGCATCCTCATAATAATGAAGTATAGTTAGGAGTCTGTTATAGGCATATGCCACTTCCAAAAGAACATGATTATTCATTAGCCATATATTTAATTACTACTTATTAAGCAAGAACAGTATCCAAGACTCTGTGGTGGTGGTGGTGAAGTGTAATCACAGGGTTCCAAGGTTGTATTTTGCAGGAGCAGAAAGCTTCATCCTACACAGTAAGTGAAAAAATTATTTTCTAGTTAATTGCTACTTCTGTTGTGTTGTTGTTAGGTATTGTTAATTCTGATTCATAGTGACCTTATGCACAACAAGGAAACCACTGCCCAGTCCTGCCACCTTCATAATTGTTATGTTTGAGCCCATTGTTGCTATTACAACATCAATCCAGCTCTTTGAGGAGCTTCCCGTTTTTGCTGACACTCCACTTTACTAAGCATGATGTCCTTTTCCAGGGACTGATCCCTTCTGACAACATGTCCAAAGTGTCTGTCGCCATTCTTGCTTCTAAGGAATATTCTGGCTTTACTTCTACCAAGATAGGCTTGTTTGTTCTTCTGGCAGTCCATGATACTTTCAAGATTCTTCACTAAATACCATAATTAAAATGCATCAATTCCAATGTGCTTAGCATATGTGGTATACATATCCCCCCGCCTTTTTTTTTTTCTTGATTGCTTAGTTATCCAACCTCTTTGTGTTTATAAATCTTAGAAACTGGCTATCAGTTTCCACCAAGATATATTCTGGGACTTTCATTGATAATGTATGAAATCTATACACCAGTTTTGGGATTTGAAATATTTAGAATACCAAACCTTCCCATCTAAGAATATGGGTCTTTTAACTTTTACTTAATATTGTTTTATGGTTTTCTATGTAAAGTTATTACATTATAGATTCATCGTAAGAATGCAAAGATTTATAACAAAAGTAGATAGTATTTATAAATTTTCCTTTTTATAATCTGTACAGCTGGACTATAAAAATGAAAAAAATTTATATATTTCTTTTTCGAAATGACCTATAAACTTAGTTTTACATCCAGTAAGCAATCTGTAGATACCTTAAATGTTATTTTTGACAAATCACACTTATTTTTGACAAATGTCACTGCAGAGTGGCATATTATGTGATGTCAGTTTATTTCCCACTTCTTTTCACCTTTTATATTTTTACTATATTTACTGCCTTATTGCACTGGCTAAGATTTATAGCAATATGTTGGGCAGAAATGAAAGCAGCATTCTTCTCTTATTTCAGTTCACACGAGTAAAGTTTTCAATAGCTGATCTTTAAGCATACCTGTAGGAGTTGTGGTATGGCACTATAGGAGAAGTACTTGACTACTAACCAAAACATTGCTGGTTCAAACTCACCAATCACTCCTTGAAAACCATATACAGAGTCAGAACTGACTCAGTTTCACTTTACAATAGCAACATGTATATTTGATCAATGATTTCTGTAACTACCTTTACAGAAAACACTGGTCCTTTCTATTGCTCATTTGCTGAGTTTTTATCAAGAAAATACAAGGGATTTGATTTACACTTTTTTAATCCATGGAGATAAGCATATAATTTTTTTAAATTATTTTGTCAATGAGAAGAATTATATTGATAACTTTTTAAATGCTATATTGTTGTTGTTGTTAGGTGCCATCAAGTCGGTATCAACTCATAGTAATCTTATGCACAGCAGAACAAAACACTGCCCGATCCTGGATCAACCTCATTATTGTTGCCACACTTGAGCGCCTTGATGCTGCCACTTGGCCAATCCATCTCGCTGGGGGTCTTCCTTTTTTTCTCTGACCCTCCACCCTACCAAACATGATATTCTTCTCCAGCGACTGGTCCCTCCTGACAATATGACCAAAGTATGAGAGATGAAATTTGGCCATCCTGGTCTCCAAGGAGCACACTGGCTGCACTTCTTCCAACACAGATCTGTTGGTTCTTTTGGCAACCCATAACACTTTCAATATTCTCCTCCAACACCATAACTCAAAAGCATCAATTCTCCTACAGTCTTCCTTATTCACTGTCCAGCTTTCTATTGCATATGACGTTATTGAAAATACCATGGCTTGGGTCAGTCACACCCTTAGTCCTCAAGCTGACATCTTTGCTCTTCAACACTTTAAAAAGGTCTTGTGCAACAGATTGTCCTCATGCAATACATCATTTGAATTTTAAATGCTATAGAAGCCTTCATTTTCTGGCAAATAAGTTAAATTGGACAGGTTGCTCTTTTCTTCCTTATTTATTGCCCAATTTGATTTGCCAATATTTTTATATATGATTTTATATCTTTTTCTTCATTGAGAGTGACTTAATATATTTCTAACTTATGTCTTTGCCATACAGTGATATCAAGGTTTTGCAATTCTAAAATTATATGAGAAATCTTTCTTTTTATTTTCTACTCTAGAAAAATTTATGTATGTATTTTATTAGTTCTTTATTAAATAGGCATTTAGGAGTGGTTTCTAAAGAGATATTTGATAGCAACTAGTTATAGGAAAATTCAGATTTCATTTTTGTCTCTTTTCAAACTGTGGAGAAAACTTTAATTATAGATTATATCTGTAAACATTTCTAACTAATAAGTAGATACTATTGAGTCTAATAGTTGGTCTTGATAGCTGCAATCTTAAACATCACCTGAATTATGACATTACTTAAACTACCCATGTAGAGAAAAGGTCTATCTCTAATATTGTCTTACCTTGTAGCTAACTCTGTGCTTCTGTGCTGTTAAGTGTCATTGAGTCAGTTCCAACTCATAGTCACCCTGTAGTATAGGTTTCACAAGGCGCAGTTGATGAACTAACTCTCGAGTTCCATAATCATGTTTGCTACAGCCCCTCACTGTAGTACACTCTTTTCTCTTGCACTAATCACAGTGATTTGACATATCAAATGTTGAGACACATCAAATAGAGAGGACAAAGATTTACTTTTTAAAAAGCATCTTTATTGTGACTTTAAATGTCTTGAATTTGTCTCTGCTATCTTGACAAGGTTCCCTTCTTTAGAACTGAATTCTAGTAGCTCCCAAGGCTGCTTTGGTTCCATGACTTCTTTGATGCTCTACTGAAGCTATGGAAAGGCCAGCTTGACTGACTTTCAGAGAATCATGCTTCTTTTCTCCCTGTGAGGACAGCAGCAAAAAATGGTTAAGCTCCAAATGCAATTTCCTGCCCGGATCCCTTTCCTTCCCACAAGCACAGACCATATAAGTGCTGGATTCTTCGTATATCCTCAACACTGAGATGGAAAGTTCTGGGGTCCTGGTATTCATAGGTAGGATACATTATGGATTTTGGATTCCTAGAGTGGTACAGGCCCAGAGCATGACCTAGCTCATGAGTTGCAACCAGGAACAGGTTAATCCCTGAAAGAGTTCGCATCAAAAGAAAAAAAAGAAAAAATCATTATTAATAAAGAGATGTAATACATGAGAAAGGTAGAAGAAAGTAGAGATGGAAATAAAGGAAATAACAAACAGAGAACAACAACAACAAAAATGGTAGGCAGACAAGCCCCTGTGGGCCCAAGCGTTGTTGACCGTCCAAACCATAGGCTCTGAGGATCAGACTCTAGCTACCTAGTAGACATAACAAACTGTCCCTCATCTGATTATTCAGTAATGCTTGTTAGTAATCTCATACGTGAGCCCTGGATATCCACAGACAAATGTAAAAACCTCCCCTAAAAGCCGAGACTGTAAATTCCAATAAGCCAAGTCCCCTCCCCATCCAAAAAAAAAAAAAAAAAAGCTAAAGAGGATAGAGAGAAACACTGTAAACTGATGATATTTAGCGGGGATAATAATCAATGTAATGAAACAAGCTATATGAATGGTTGAATGTGAAACTGATGATGTGCCCTGTAAACTTTCACTCAATGCAAAATAAAAACATTTAATTAAAAAAAAAATGGCTATTTAAAATTAAAATCACTTTATGATGTTAATATTTGGTATTATGAAATTAAAAAGTCTAAATAAAATATTGTCTTTAGAAAAAAAAAATGGTAGGCAGAGAGGGAAAGAGAATAAGTATGAATATATGTAAAGAGAGATAAACTGAAAGTAAGGAAGTAGCTTGGAGAGAATTGAGAGATGGATTAGTGGGAACACAGAGATAAGGAAAGAGAAAAGCAAAATATGAGAATGTGCTTATTATAAGAGCATCTGTTTTCATAAATTGTCCCACATCACCCCACTCACATAGAAGAACTTTATCCTCAGCAAACTCTTTCTGCCTTACCCTGGACACTCAGAATCCTCCCCACCTCCTCTTTTGTGGTATGACTATCCAAATGCAGGCCTTTGATCAAACCTACCAACTCCCAGGAAATTCTTGTCCTCTCATCAGACAGAATCTTTACCCCTGTATGAAGTTGACCAATGTTCATCCTTGTCAAAGTGAACAACTCCTGGAGTTTCAGAATGTGGGAAAAAGGCATGGCCTAAGACGCCACCTGGTCCATCAAAGGGCAAGCCATCTTCATGGGCTGTGAAACACAGATAACTATGGTTATAATGAGGGCAGTTGGGTAGGAACAGGGGCGATAAAAACTAACTCAGTAGTACATAAGGGTACTTAGAATTAAGATACTATGGAGGTTGAAGAAAGGTTAAAGCACCATTTATGCAAAGGAATAATTGTGCCATTGAGGTGATTTAGCCTCATTGACAGTCATAGGGTTTGGCAACAATCTGGCTGGTTTTTTATCATCTGTGATAAAAATAAAGGGTTGTCATGACAAAAATTGAATGAAGGTTACAGGCTAGACATAAAAACTTCATCCCTAAAATGAGGGGAATAGGAGAAAAGAAATTTAAACTGTAGGTATTTCTAAAAAGGTGGGACCCACTTTGAACAACATTTCAGCCACTGAGGGCTACATAGCTCCCTTTTAACAGAGAATGTGTAATTCCTTCTTTCTCACCCTGTTCACATCACAGTACACCCACTCTACTATCGAGTGCTCCTCTGAACTAAAAATGTATTTAATTTATTCCCTTAAGAGCTTTGCTGAATATCTTTTTTTTTTTTTTTTTTTTTGTAGAAGCTGGACTATGTGGGCTGGGTTTTTATTTATGAAGATGGACATTTTATCCTTTAATATGGGATGTCATTACCTCCCTCCCCTGCCAGTTCTTACCCAAGGCCCAGAAAGAAATGTTGATGTCTGCGTCTTTACTCTCCACTTGCTTAAAGACCAAGGGGGTCACACTGCTCCAGATGGAAAATGCTGCATGCATAATATATTTCACTGTAGATGTCTTCAAATCATATGGATAATTGATAATCCTAAGAAAAGTAATTTTTAAGGGAATTATCCTAGCTCTACAAATAAGTGACTGAACTTTCAGTCAAATCACTTAAATTCTTAGATTCATTTTTCTTCTCTTACAGCATTGACGTAATCCCAAACTAACTGAATCAGAATCTATGAAATGAAATTTCAATATATAGATTTCTAAAAATACTAACAAAGGCAAAAAAAAAAAAAAAAAAAACTGCCATCAAGTCAATTCTAACTCATAACCATAAAGCATAAATGTTCCTTAGGGTTCCAAGGGCTATGAATCTCTACAGGAGCAGACAACCTCATCTGTGTTCTGCAGAGTGACTTGTGACTTGTAGATTTGAACCATCAATTCTGCATTTAGCATTCCAGTAAATAATCTACTATGTCACCCTATTCTTGCATTAACTAAAGTTTGAAAATCACTGCCCTACAGGATGATTATAACAATTAAGTGGAAAACATAACAAATACTATGTGAAGTCAATTTAAACATATATCATGTTATGTCATTTATTACTGTTTTGCTTTTTCATGTGTCTAATATATTTAATCCATTTGAACTGCAAGGTCGGTAGTTCAAGCTTACCAGCTGCTCACTATGGGTCGCAACCAACTCAACAACACTTAACAACAAACAACAATATGTTTAAGCACCCAAACAGAGTTACCTGGACAGGTAGCAATACTTCAAAATCATATCCTAGAAACACACACTCACAAAAAACAAGGAAAATACAGAGCATTTAACTAAAGAAGTATAGTGGAGTCACAGGAGATAACCATTTACAGAGGGACATTGTGCAAAGTAAGTATATTTTTTCTATTGTTAACTGCTAGTATTGAGAATAAGGAGCTCTGGTAACGTAGTGGTTACGACTCGGGCTGTGAACCGCAAGGTCAGCAGTTCGAAACTACCAGCTGCTCCGCGGGAGAAAGATGAGGCTTTCTACTCCCGTAAAGATTTACACCCTCGGAAACCCTGTACAGGGTCGCTATGAGTCGGTTCCGACTCCACGGCACATAACAACAACAACAACAGTATTGAGAATGCTCACAGGAAAAATGCAATAGGAACAGAGAGTAGCTACACATCCTAAAGCTTTATCTGAGGAAGAAATAATGAGAATCTGTAGAACCAAGCACTGTGAGGGAGATTCTGGGCTTTGGAAAGAGTGAAAGGGAAATCAGGAAAAAGTGATAGCAGCTCTTTAGACCTCCTGATGTGGCACTGTAGGTTAATGAGCCAGACTGCAAAGCCATTTGAACTGCAAGGCTGGTGGTTCAAGCCGCCAGCTTTTCCTTGGAAACCCTATACAGGGCCACTATGGGTCGGAACCGACTCAACAGCACTTAACAACAACAACAGCAACAGGCCTTAAAAACAAGCACCTATAGGTCAGAGTATGTTCATTCCATTTGGGTCTTTCTGGGAAGACATAGTTGTAAGCCACATCAGGTACTCCACAGCGGGGCAGGTGCAGCACAGAAAGTGTTTGTTTGTCCAGTAGGCCTGTCACATTCAGATGGAAGAATTGTTGCAGGAACTGTATCTGTTCTCCCTGAGTAACAAGTGGTGAGTCCTTTTTGGTCATGAAGAACTGATGGAAATAATCCTGGTGGGAGAAACAAGGGAAGGATGAATATTTCAAGGCAATAAAGACAGACTCTTTAAGAGAATTATCCTAGCTCTACAAATAAGGAGCTCTGGTAGTGTAGTGGTTACGAATCGAACTGCGAACCTTAAAGTCAGCAGTTCGAAACTATCATCTGTTCGGTGGGAGAAAGATGAGGTTTTCTGCTCCTGTGAAGATTTACAGCCTCAGAAACCCTGTACAGGGTCTCTCTGAGCCAGAACCAACTCCACGGCACATAACAACAACAACACAAATCACTGACTGAACTTTCAGTCAAATAACTTAAATTCTTAGTTTCATTTTTCCTCTCCTAGTAAGAAGCTCTTGTAGCCTAGTGGTTACGAATTGGGTTGCTATCCTCAGGGTCAGCAGTTTGAAGCTACCAGCTGTTCTGTGGGAGAAAGATGAGGCTTTTTGCTCCCATAAAGATTTACAGCCTCAGAAACCCTGTACAGGGTCCCTATGAGTCGGAACCGACTCCACGGCACATAACAGCAACACATTGACATAATCGCAAAGTAACTGAATCAGAATCTATGAAATGAAATTTCAATATCTAGATTTCTAAAAAGACTAACAAAGAAACTGCCATTGAGTCAATTCTGACTCATAAATCAGAGACTATAACTGTTCCTTAGGGTTCCAACTGATACGGATAGTATCAATTATCCAGGTAAAACCTCACTTGGGAACGTGGAGGGAAGGTAGTTTGTCTATATCACTGTCTTAATGCTCCTGTTCTCAGTCAGATAATGTTAACCACACCTGATTCTCCATGTCGTTTGAAAGGTTTAAGCAAAGGTGATTGAATAAAAATGACTTAGAACACCAGGCAAAAATTTCTGCATCCAAGTTCCAAAATAGACAAGTCCAAGAATAAGAGCATGAAGATATGAATGGGCACAGCCTAGAGAAGATAACCTTTAGGTTTTCTCACTGATCTTAAGTTTTCTACATTAGGACAGACTCTGTGAATCCCACAGGATAGAATTTGGCTGATTCTGAATTGCCCAGTCCATTGAATTCCATCCTATTAAAATACTTGTAAAGTGTCCATTCATCACTTACTTATTACCAGTGACTTCCTTTTCAATCCAATTTACTCAATCTCAATTTCTGAGAAACATATCAGCTTGAATTACAGTCTTGTGTTCAATCCAGTTAGATTATAATAATTGTGAGAGAAATATCCATCTCTTACACAGCTTGATCTGCCCTGCAATTCTATGATAGTACTTAATGTAAACCATTGATTTATTTTGTATTTTGTATAGAACTGTAATAAAATCGTGGTCTGCTTTGTCCATAGGATTCCCATGTTCTTTCAGCATTTAGCACAAACAATAGCATAGATTTTAAAAACTAGCATCATTTATTTGATTATAGTTGCTGTTGTTGTTAAGTGTAGTAGTGTCATTTCTGAATCCTAGTGACCCTATTTAGGGTTTCCAAGGAGTGTCTGGTGAGTGAACCAATGACCTTGTGGTTCAAACTGACCTTGCAGGCCAGTGCTTTATCCCACAGGATGACACCAGAATAAGATAGCAATATTTATGGAATGCAAATTTTTCTCTTTTTGTCATTAATTTTCAGGAAGCTCTGACAATGGAATGTGTAATAATAAAAGCCATAGCTTTTATGCAAAGAGATAACCTTTTCTGCTGGCTGTAGTGTTTAAACTTACAACCTGTATAGCTAGTTATAAATCCCCTCAATTCAGTGCTGGCTCCACAAATTTTAGCTAGAGAGAAGACTGAGTACCGGCGATTTCATGCTAGGATGCTTCAATAAGAAATGGTCACAAAAATTAAAGACTCAAGACAGAACACAGAAATATAATGCTAGAAAAAAAATGCAGTCACCCAGAACAAGTCAGGATTATCTAATGCACCATACTGTGTGTTCTTACTGGTTTTGCTTTTAGTATCAGCTAAACTAAGTATTTTGAGACAAATGACTTCCCGCATTTTTCTGGACTTAGTATTAGAAGAAATATCTGGATCTGAATTGGACTGAATCTATGAATAATTACAAAGCACATGACTAAAATCAGTGGACAGGAGTTTTAGGTATTTGACCACATCAGGATTTCTTAAGAAATTGAAAGTATGTAGAGAACAGTTTGGGATATTTTCTACTTAATAAGAAGATCTATTACCGCATTTGAATTAGTTCCCCTAATTCCTCAGCACTTTATAGACTCATATCTGGACATCCTATCTGTTTTCACTCTATGCCATTTAGAAGACTAAATGCATAGGAGATAAATGCTATGACTAACTTGTCTACTAAACATATGAAAATTAGTTAGACCAACAATAATTTTAGAGGTCCATAAAAATGTTTCAATTTTTGAAAATCAAGAAAAGATGAATTTTTGATTAAATAAAATATGTAAATTTGTGATATTAAAAGGTTTATCTTTATACCAATTTTGTCGAGGGATCCACAAAGGCCTACGGTCCATGAAAGTCTAAAGGAGGAATGTGGCCCTGATGAGTCTACCTACCTTAACCAAGTCCCATCCTTTAAGGTCTGTAGTTGGGGCCACTGGGAAGGCCATGCACCAGGGCAGAAAGAGTATAGCTCTTAAGAGAGCAAAAAACATTGCAAATGCTCACTCCTCACCCTGCCTAAATCTGTGTACCCAGCAGAGATCCTGGGAACTTTATAGGCATTCCAGGAATACCCAGTGACTCATACTGTTCAGTCTCATTCTCTCTGGATCAGTGAATGTCACCATTGCCCATGCAGGTTTGGGGGTCAGAGTGATCAGCATGCCAGCGTGATGACTACAGTCACAGAATGTATCCTTACCAATGCTTATATCACCCCTGACAGCCCTTATGAGCCCAGATCCTAATCTTGGTTAAAGAACAACTGAGAAGTCTCAGTACATTAGAGGAAATTTTGTGAAAATTTTGAGAAAAAAAAAAAAAGAAAGAGAGAGATTGGAGATATATCAATGATTTATTTCCATTTTATCTTTAAGAATAATCTCTTTACAACAAAGAAAAATGTAACCTTGTTTCGGAAGCTAAAGAGAGAACTGAATTGAGGAAAGGGATGAGTTGAGAATAAGGCAGAGAAAGAATGGGACAGGCAGAAATGGATAATCACTTCTCTCATATCCCAGAACCTCTAGACCACCACCTCACACAATAACCCTCTTCTAGCTATTGATTTTCATCAAAATTCTTTTTCCATCTTCTAGGCACCCTTCATTGGGCCTTGCTACCTCTGCAAACACAGCCTGCTGTGTCTAGTGCATTTTCAACAAGTAATAACCCCATGTGACAGAGTAGCACTGCCCCATAGATTTTTCAAGGCTGTAATCTTCGTTGATATGGCACCATGGGATAATGTACTGGGCTGCAAGTTTGGTTTGAACTGTAAGGTTAACAGTTTAAATTTACCAGCCACTCCTTAAAAACTAACTCAATGGCATTTACTGAAATACACAGGGTCACTATGAGTGGAAACTAACTCAATGGCATTTACTGAAATACACAGGGTCACTATGAGTGGAAACTGACTCGATGGCACTTACCAAAAACAACGATCTTCACTAGAGAAGGTTGTTCAGTTTTTCTGCTATGGAGTCATAAGGTGAGTTCAAACTGTCAACCTTCCAGTTAGCAGTCATGAGCAGGCATTGTGCCACCAGAGCTCCTTGTAAACACAGCCTAAATAAGTCTAATCAGTTTGCCTCTCACTTGTTGTTGTTAAGTGTCTTCCAGTAGATTCCAACTCCCCATTCCTAAGGCAATGCAACTTTCATCAGTGACTCCTGTGGAGACCCCTGGGTCTCTGCTGTGTATATCCACTCCCCTATTATTAATAACTTGAACTGACCCCATATTTGAGAGGGATTTCTGTTCTGAAATTATTAAGCATTGAGGAGTAGTGAGCAAGAGGAGGTGGAAACTGCCTAAACCGTGATTTTGGAATAATACCAGGCTCACAATTAGATTCAACTTCAGTCTTCTGGCAAAAAAGAGACAGAAACCAGTACTCTGAGTTTTGGCTCTGGGGCAAAAATAAAATTTAAAAGCAAGAGTTAAGGATGATAATTAAATATCATGGAAGGAGAGGTTACCAAAAAATTCTATAACTATTTAGGTCCTATATGTGTTTCAGGCCTTTGATAAAAATCACAGTATACAAATTTCACAGGCTAAAATAATCAAATGCAAAGATAAGTACTGTATCAACATTACACAGCTAGTGAATGATGGTGGTTATGTGCCATGGAGTCGGTTCCGACTTATACTGACCCTGTACAGGGTTTCCAAGGCTGTTAATCTTTACAGAATCAGAAAGGCTCATCTTTCTCCCGTGGAACAGCTGGTGGTTTCAAACTAAAAATTAATTTAATTTTCAGTGTCCAGATATTGTATCAACAGAAAAATTAATTTTAAAAATGTAGTAAATACATATAATGTACTACTACTTAGTAATAACAAGAAATAATTTACTGAGATATGCCACAAGCAAATAATATCAAAAACATTATGTTGAGTTAAGATTTGAGACCCAAATAGTCTATTACATAAACCCATTGACGCTGTGTCCTTGCCCACTCACAGCGACCCTAAGAGCAGAGAAGTACTCCAGAGGGTTTCCTAAGCTGTAACCTTTATGGAAGTAGACTGTTAACATCTTTCTCCCATGGAGTGGCTGGTATAGTCAAACCCCATACCTTTCGATTAGCAGTTCAGCGCTTATCCATTGTGCCACCAGGGCTCCTTCAATACACTGGTGGTGGTGGTGGTGTATTGTGGAGTCGGTGACTCATAGTAACCCTGTATAGGGTTTCTGAGATGTAAATCTTTATGAGAGCAAAAAGCCTAATTTTAATTCAGGTAGATTTGAATTACTGACTTTGCAGTTAGCAGCACAGATCATAATTTACTAAACTACCAGGGTTCCTTTCAGTACCATTGTGTAATTATATAAAGTTTTAGAATAGAAAAATATAATACTGGATAGTAATTAGAACAGTGTATGACTATGTTAAGGCTCAAAAGGGGATTTTCAGTCTTCGGCCACTGGGGATCCGATGAGCAGACTGGAGCATCATGGATACTGACTTGTATGATGAGTTTGGGAATTATATTGGATCAGAGATTGTTTCTGATGAAGATGATGATGAATGGGGCAGAGAAGCCAAAGATCTTGATGAGATGGATGACGACAATAATGACGACGACATCGACGATCATGATGATGACCACCCTGGGATGGAGGCAGTACTGCACGAAGACAAGAAGTACTACCCCACAGCTGAGGAGGTGTATGGGCCCGAGGTGGAGACCACAGTCCCGGAGGAATACACTCAGCCTCTCACAGAACCCATTATTAAACCTGTGAAAACCAAGAAGTTCACACTGATGGAGCAGACATTACCTGTCACCGTGTATGAGATGGATTTCCTCGCAGATCTGATGGACAACACAGATCTTATCAGAAATGTGACCCTTTGTGGCCATCTCCACCATGGCAAGACATGTTTTGAAGATTGTTTAATAGAACAGACTCACCCGGAAATCAGAAAACGCTATGACCAAGATCTGTGCTACACTGATATCCTCTTCACTGAGCAAGAGAGAGGTGTTGGCATCAAAAGCACTCCTGTGAATGTGGTGCTGCCAGACACCAAAGGAAAATCCTATCTCTTCAATATCATGAACATCCCAAGACACGTCAATTTTTTCTAATGGGGTCACAGCTGGCTTGCGCATCTCGGATGGAGAGTTCCTCTTAATCGATGCTGCCGAGGGGGTGATGCTGAACACCGAGCAGCTGATCAAGTACGCTGTGCCTGCCGGAGAGGCTGGCAGTCACCGTTTGCATCAACAAGATTGACCGCTCATCCTGGAGCTCAAGCTGCCTCCCACTGATGCTTATTACAAGCTGCGCCACATTGTGGACGAGGTCAATGGGTTAATAAGCATGTATTTCACTGATGAGAAGTTGATCTTGTCTCCACTCCTGGGCAACATCTGCTTCTCCAGCTCCCAGTACAGCATCTGGTTCACACTGGGCTCCTTTGCCAAGATTTACATTGACACCTTTGGTGACATTAATTACCAGGAATTTGCTAAAATACTCTAGGGTGACATCTGCTTCAACTCCAAGATGAGAAAGTTCACCGAAAAGCAGTTCCCAGAGGAGCTTTGTGGAGTTTATCTAGGAGCCACTTTATAAGATCCTTGCTCAGGTTGTGGGTGACGTGGACACTAGTCTCCCAAGGGCCCTGAATGAACTCAGCATCCACCTGACCAAGGAGGAGCTGAAGCCGAACATCTGCTCCCTCCTCAGGCTAGTCTGCAAGAAGTTCTTTGGGGAGTTCACAGGCTTTGTGCACATGTGTGTGCAGCATATCCCCTCTCCAAAAGTGGGTGCCAAACCCAAGATTGAGCACACTTACACTGGCAGCATGGACTCTGACCTTGGCGAGGCCATGAGCGACTGTGAGCCTGATGGTCCTCTGATGTGCCACACTACCAAGATGTACAACACAGATGATGGAGTTCAATTTCACGCCTTTGGCCATGTGCTGAGTGGTACTATCCATGCTGGGCAGCCTGTGAAGGTACTGGGAGAGAACTACACCCTAGAGGATAAGGAAGACTCCCAGATATGTACCGTGGGCCGTCTTTGGATCTCTGTAGCCAGGTACCACACTGAAGTTAATCACATTCCTACTGGCAATTGAGTTCTGATTGAATGTGTGGATCAACCAGTTGTGAAGATAGCAACCATCACTGAATCTCAAGGTAATGAGGAGGCTCAGATTTTCCACCCCTTGCAGTTCAACACCACATCGGTGATCAAGATTGCTGTGGAGCCAGTCAACCCCTCTGAGCTGCCCAAAATGCTGGATGGCCTGCGCAAGGTCAACAAGAGCTACCCGCCCCTCACCACCAAGGTGGAGGAGTCGGGTGAGCACATGATCCTGGGCAGGGGGGAGCTGTACTTGGATTGTGTGATGCACGATCTGAGGAAGATGTACTCAGAGATAGACATCAAGGTGGCTCACCCAGTTGTCACATTTTGTGAGACGGTGGTGGAAGCTTCCTCCCTCAAGCACTTTGCTGAAACTCCCAATAAGAACAAGATCACCAGGATTGCTGAGCCTCTTGAGAAGGGTCTTGCCGAAGACATGGAGAATGAGGTGGTCCAGATCACATGAAACAGTAAGAAGCTGGGAGAGTTCTTCCAGACCAAGTATGGTTGGGATCTGCTGGATGCCCATTCTATCTGGGCTTTTGGGCCTGATGCCAGTGGTCCCAACATCCTGGTGGATGATGCCCTGCCTTCTAAGGTGGACAACGCTCTTCTTGGCTCAGTGAAGGACAGCATCATCCAAGGTTTTTAGTGGGGAACCAGGAAGGGGCCCTTCTGTGATGAGTTGATTCAAAATGTCCAGTTTAAGATCCTGGATACAGTGGTGCCCCAGGAGCCCCTTCACCAGGGTGGGGGCCAAATCATCCCCACAGCCAGGAGAGTCATCTATTCAGCCTTCCTTATGGCCACACCTCGTCTGATAGAACCTTACTACTTTGTGGAGGTACAGGCTCCTGCAGAGTGTGTCTATGCTGT